AGACACATCTTCAAACCCCAAGCCTGTAACATTCCAAGACCAGCAGAGAGACAATACGTGCAATTCTTTCAGCTTCTGCAAATTGTAAATATCATTTCAGAAAACGTGAAAAAACTCCCTCACATTCCCAAACATTAAACCCATGAACAATCAGCTTTTAGTGGCATTGGGAATTGCTCTCTGAGCCACGTGGATCTGGCGAGCAATGTGTGTTAAAACCGCCTTCAAATGTCTTGGCTACGGTTGGCATACAGCGGGAACACCAGACCCGTGTCGGCCGGCTAATTAATGTGATACCCTTGAATGCAAAGTATGTCACAACATCATGCCAGTCGTGTCTGATCTAACAGACCAAAACAACTCTGTTGGCATTTAATAAACATGGCGCAGCACTCTCCATTGTTTACTTTCCTGACTCTGATGGCATGCAGCTTGCCATTGCCAAAGAGTAAAGGAGCTGAATGCCGACTGTTAGCTAGTCAACCTGTGTTTGAAAATCCCACCTTAACCAGATAATTTTTAGTGGGACAGCAGCTATGTTGATATGGAGAAGCAGCAGCTCTACTCCAAGCCCCTCACAGATGGCTGAGCCATTTGACCTTTCTCTGAGGGAGCACCTTTACACCCTGCAGAGGAAGTCATTTCAGCTGTTTGTATTTCTGATCTTTTACTTTCACTTATAGGAGTGTAAACCAATCTGTAAATCAAGGCTTTACCTCAGCTATCACCACAATGAACCTGCACACGATCCATCTGTCGATCACCCACTCCATTAACTCCTCACTAATGAACAAAATACTGAACTTCCTTCACGTGAGCTAGGATCTTCTCTGTTACTTGGACTTAGCCATCTTTTTCCAGGTGAGAGCCACGGCTTCTGACTTGGAGGAGTTGATAACATCACACTCTTCTGCGAAGCGCCCTTACACATGCTGTGGGTCTCAGCGAGTAGAGCTTGATTAATGATTGACAATCCATGCAGGTGCATTACGCCATTTTAGCTTCCACGACCACCCCTCACTTGGTGTCCACAAGGACAGGCACCGAGGAAAATGTGAAACTTTGCAGACAGTTCCAACTAGGGTTGTCAAAAGTATCGATACTCAAAAAAGTATTGATACTGAAAAGTTGTATCCGGATACAATACTCATTTTCAAAAGTATCGATACAGTGCTACCACCAGTGGCACCTAAGCAGTCATTTATCTTATGCGCAGATTAGAGGAAAATGCACCTTCTGAACACTGTGTGATTGAATAATTCTGTGCACTTTTTGGTTTCAGGCTTTTTTTCTGTAACAGGTGCAGCTGCTGAGAATTATTTTTTGTTTTTTAACTGGTTTGGCTAGTGTCATTGTTATGTGTGTAAAGCATAGCCAAGGAAGGAACACTCAATTTTAATTTTTTAAGTTTTCTTTATCAAGCTTGCTTAATATTGTGCACAGCATACAACCTCAAAAATTGTTTATTGTATTTATTTATCTATTTATTGTATTTTTTTTATTAATGAAAACATTTCTGTTGAATTTTGGAGTCTTTGTTTTTATCCTTGTGGTATCGAAAATGACATCGAGTATTGAATATTTTACTTAGTATTGGTATCGAGTTGAAAAGTTTAGTATCGTGACAACCCTAGTTCCAACTCAAAAAACATGGTGGATTAGCAATAGCTCCTACTGGCTAGGGTTTGCAAATATAAGCATCAAGAAATATGTTGTGATTTAGTCCATAAATATCAGCATTATCATCAGATTGTGACCCTTGGATGGCATGAAGAGGCTTTGAAACAGGTGGAAATGGCTGTTTTCTACTTCCTCATGTAATGTGGTGTTGTAAGTTTGTGGTTTGTGTTGTTACTTACCCCCCTTAAGCCGGCCAGTGAGGAAAAGCTGCAAATAGGTATAAAAGCTGCAGACATATGCGTCATATTTCCATTTGAAACATATCTGCCTCAAAAAACCTTAGGCCTAATTTCTAATGCTTGATGTCCAGAACTATGACATTCAAAACAACAACCTTACAAATGGCTCCCTTTAGATCAGTATTCAGTAGGGCTGGGAGATATGACGTCAAATCAATATCACAATAAAATTGGCAGTTTATTGTATTGTTTTTAAAGGCAGTTAAAGTATTGGCACTTCGATAACGTTTAATGCACGATAAATGCTCCAGCTCCACTATCAGAAATAAAGTGTGCAGGAATTGCAGCTGATTTATTTATAACTTATTTATTGAATAAATCACATTACATATTACCTTTTAATTAAAAAATCTAAATCTTGTACCCATTCAGGTTTAAACATTCAACAATGTCTCATTGAACATTAGAAAAACATTACCTCTCTTGCAGAAATTTTTGTGCAAATGTAATGGAGCCTTTTGCACATCTTTGAGCTGAACAGCATGGATGTGCTGTAGGTGGTGGAGGTTGAATGTGTTACTTTGGGTAGTCCCAAAAGTTTTTAGACAAACTTTGCATTTCGTGTTTTTTAGTTCAATATCTCTGTCGTAATTTTGGTGCCACTGAACTGAGCGTGCAGTGAGAACAATGTGCATAGTTTAAACTCAAACACCCTCACTAAAAACTGGTCTGCCGCGCGCTCAACTCTGACAACAAGCTCCACTTCTTCTCTGCGCGCTCAGCTTCATCTCTGCTCTCGCTCTGCTCCGTGGGATTAACTCATGTAATTTCGTTTACAGCTGTGTTAGACGTTTCTTCACTGGGCTCATCCTCTGTTCTCTTTGTTCACACTTCTGACTGGATCGGTGGAGTCGCGTAGTTCCACACTTGCTGCCGTGTCTTAAAGGGGAAGGAAATACCACCCACCCTTGCACACAGGAAAAACAGCAGAATTAAGTTTATTTCTTTTATCATCCATCTT